GAAAATTTACAGGTCCCTAGAAATATCTCTGAAAACAGCTGCACAAAACCCCTGACCTTGGGACAGTACATTCTCCACACTGGAAACAGACCCCTACCTTAACAAAGAGTCTAAAACTCAAGTAATTGGCTGGGAAAATAAATAAACAGTGCAAAAAAAGTCAGACCATAAAATCTTACTTTGGTGACAAAGAAGATCAAAACATACAATCAAAAGAAGACAACAAAGTCAAAGCTCCTACATCCAAAACCTTCAAGAAAAATATGAATCAATCCCAGGCTATGGAAGAACTCAAAAAGGATCTTGAGAAGCAAGTAAGAGAAGGAGAGGAAAAATTGGGAAGAGAAATGAGAGTGATGCAAGAAAATGATGAAAAACAGGCCAACAGCTTGCTAAAGGAGACCCCCCCAAAAAAATACTGAAGAAAATAACACCTTAAAAAAATAGACTAATCCAAATGTCAAAAGAGGTCCAAAAAGCCAATGAAAAAAAAAAGTCAATGAGGAGAATGCCTTAAAAAGCAGAATTGGCCAAATGGAAAAGGAAGTCCAAAAGCTCACTGAAGAAAATACTTCCTTAAAAATTAGAATGGAGGAGCAGCTATGTGGCACAGTGGATAGAGCACTGACCTTGAAGTCAGGAGGACCTGAGTTCAGATCTGGCCTCAGACCAAACACTTGACACTTACTAGCTGTGTGATCCTGGGCAAGTCACTTAACCCCAATTGCCTAAATAAATAAATAAGAATGGAGCAATTAGAAGCTAATGACTTTATGAGAAATCAAGAAATTGTAAAACAAAACCAAAAGAATAAAAAAATAGAAGACAATGTGAAATATCTTATTGGAAAAACAGCTGACCTGGAAAATAAGTCCAGGAGAGATCATTTAAAAATTATCGGACTACCTGAAAGCCATGATCAAAAAAAGATCCTGGACATGATCTTTCAAGAAATTATCAAGGAAAACTGCCTTGATATTCTAGAACCAGAAGGCAAAATAGAAATTGAAAGAATCCACCATCACCTCATGAAAGAGATCCTCAAATGAAAACTGCTTAGAATATTGTAGCCAAATTCAAGCCAAATATTGTAAGCAGCCAGAAAGAAACAATTCAAGTATTATGGAAACACAATCAGGATAACACAAGATTTAGCAGCTACTACATTAAGGGAAAAAAATTGGATAGATAGATAGATAGCTAGATAGATGGAACAGGGTGAGTTGAATATGAAGGAATGATATCAAAAAAATAAAATTAAGGGGTGAGAGAGGATTGTACTGGGAGAAGGAGAAAGAGAGAGGTAGAATGGGGTAAATTATCTCACATAAAACAGACAAGAAAAGGCTTTTTACAGTGGAGGAGAAGTGGGGGAAGGTGAGAGGGAATGAGTGAATCTTATTCTCATCTGATTTGGCTTAAGGAGGGAATAACATACACACTCAATTTGGTATGGAAATCTATCTTACCCTACAGGAAGATAGGGAAAAGGATAAGAGTTGGGGGTGGGGGATGATAAAAGGGATGGCAGATTGAGGGAGGAGGTAATCAGAAGCAAACACTTCTGAGGAAAGACAGGGTTAAAAGAAAGAATAAAATAAAGGGGGGTGGGGGGAGGGTGGGATAGGATGAAGGGAAATATAGTTTGTTTTTCACGACATGACTACTATGGAAGTGTTTTGCATGACTATACAAGAATAACCTGTATCAAGTTGCTTGCCTTCTCAATGAGGGTGAGTGGGGAGGGAGAAAGGGAGAAAATTTGGAACCCAAAGTTTTAAAAACAAATGTTAAAAATTGTTTTCACATGCAACTAGGAAATAAGATATAAAGGCAATGGGGTATAGACATCTGTCCTGCCCTACAGGAAAATAGAAGGGGAAGGAGATAAAAGAAGGGAGGGTGGTTATAGAAGGGAGGGCAGATTAGGGGAAGGGGTATTCAGAATGCACGCCATCTTGGAGTTGGGAGAGGGGTGAGATGGGGAGAAAATCTGGAACTCAAAATCTTGTGGAAGTGAATGTTGAATACTAAAAATAGATAAATTTATAAATGTTTAATAAAAAAAAAAACTAATGCTGCAATGAAGTTGCATGATGGAGTATGGGCAAGAGCTGCCAGAACTGCCTCTGATTCATTATGCCTTTGATTTTGAATTAGTTTTTGGTCATTGTGCATTCAGAAAACTTTTACTGTTGCCATATTTTTCTCCACCCCATATGGGGTCATGACCCACAGTTTAAAAAGCACTGCTTTAGAGAATGTTGCTTAACCAGAGCATTTTCCCCTGTTAAAACGCAGAACAAGATATCCATCTTCCTTAAAACTAAGTCAGCAAAGCATTAACCTGGAGCAGATTTTTATGACTAAGTTTTATATTGCTTGGGGGAAAAAAAGAGAGAGAGAAGATAATTAATAATGCACATTATAAATTTCTACATTTCAGGGTTTAGTAATTTGATTTTCTCAAGCTGTACTTTGCAAGATGATCTCATTTGAGAAGGAAACATAGGGCTGAGTCAGCTTTTTTTTGACTCAGATGGCCCAGATCCAAGTGAATTCAGGTTTTATAGGAGTCCTCTGGACTGCTCCACCATTTTGGACATTACCACTGTCATAGTAGTTGTAAAGGTTCTCAGGCGCCATTTCCATCTGAGCAGGAGCCCCCTCTGGAGCCTCCCAGATAAGTGGTCCCCCAGCCATTGTTTGAAGACCTTCAGGTAGAAGTGATATAGTGGGCACATAATCAGGAGGGACCTGACTCTGAACCTGAAGATCAATGGGACTTTGAACAAGTCTCTGGTCTTTTCTCTCAAACCCTTTTTTTCTATAAAGTGGTAATAACAGTGTTCACACTGCCGTGAAACTCAAGTGAGATAGTGTGGAAGTGCTTTGTAAAATTGCTCTATAGAAGAGGTCCTTAAACTTTTGGGAGGACCAGGTCCCCTTTAAAAGTCTGTTGAAGCCTATGGACTTTTTCTCAGAATAACAATGTTTTGAAATTTGTAAAATAAATAGAGTTATAAAGGAAACCAGATAGCTAGGTGGTACCCTGAATAGAATGCTGGACCTGGAGTCAAGAAGACCTGAGTTCAAATCCTGCCTCAGAAACTATCTGTGCAACCCTGGGCAAGTCACTTAACCTCTATTTGCCTCATGTTTTTCATCTGTAAACTCAGGATAACAACAGCACCTACTTCCCAGGGCTGTTGTGAGAATCAAACCAGATATTTGTAAAGTTCTTTGCAAACATTAGGGACAGCTGGGTGGTGCCCGTGGATAAAGTTCATGGCGTGAAGTTAGGGAGATTCATCTTCCTGAGTTCAAATGTGACCTTAGACCCTTACTAGCTATGTGACCCTGGGAAACTCACTTCACCCTGTTTGCCTCAATTCCTCATCCGTAAAATGATCTGGAGAAGGAAATGGTAAACCACTCCAGTATCTTTGCCAAGAAAACCCCAAATGGGGTCATGGAGAGTCAGACAGGACTGAACAATTGCAAACCTTAAATCACTGCATAAATGTTAACTAAATACAGACATATAGACACACACATATATAAAATAAAGATGTAATTTTTTTTTCACATTCAAATACATAGATCCCCTGAAGTCTATCCAGATCCATTGGAGGCCTGTAGACAACAGGCTAGGAAGTCTTGTAGAGTTAGATTTAATGTGAGAATTCTTTCCACAAAAGAAAAACGAAACCAGTCTTTAGCTTGATCCTAAAAAATTAACTGCCTGAAGCTCATAAAGGTTAAGTGACTTGCCCAGGGTCACACTATGCCACATTACATCTCTAAGTGCTACTTAAATACAGGGTATTGTTATTAGTATTGCCTAATAAAAAAAAAACAAAAAAAAAAAAACCCTGTTCTGATGCCTCATTGTGTGGCAAGGAGGCAAGTCTGTGTGCTCACAGGCTTGTGGCTGTAGAAGACCACCAAGCTGGATAATGGATTTCATGTTTTTTGCCAGATGACCAGCTTGGCTTATTTTGGCTTATTTCCTGCAAAAGTCACCTCAAGAGCTATGTGAAGCATTTCTTGATCTCCCCCACTGCTAGTGTAAATTACCTTTGATTTATGCCAAAAACTAAAATAAAATTGCTCAATTGTTCATACTCTTTGATCCAGTGACCTAATACTGGCATCTATACTCATCAAGGAAGTCAAAGACAGAGTATTCATAACAGTTTTTCTTTAGTTGTAGCAAAAAAAAAAAAAGGTGCCCATGGATTGGGAAGTAAATGGCTGAACAAACTGTGGCATATGAATGTTAATGAAATGTTAACTCTGCTATAAGAAAAATTTTAAATATGAGGAATTTATAGGGGGCAGCTGGGTGGCACAGTGGATAGAGCCCTGGCCCTGGAGTCAGGAGGACCTGAGTTCAAATCCAGCCTCAGACACATAATACTTCCTAGCTGTGTGACTCTGGGCAAGTTGCTTAACCCCAATTGCCTCACTAAAAACATGTGTGTGTATGTGTGTGTGTGTGTGTGTGTGTGTGTATGTGTGTGTGTGTGTGTGTGTGTGTATAGATGAAGAATTTATGGAAACACAGGAAGACATGAATTGGAAAGTGAAGAATGCAGAACAAGGAGAAAAATGTTACTACCATCACATAATTTAAAAGACCATTAAAAGGCAGCAGAACTTGGATTAATTACAGTAACTAATCTTAGTCTGGGAGAACAGATGACGGAGCAGATTTTCCTCCTTTTAGAAGCATGGGGGAGGGGAGTGGGAAGATAAAGTATGTGGGAGAAATGTCATAAATGCTATCAGATGTGGTCTCTTTGTTGGTTGTACTTAACTATTTATTTTGTTACTAGGGAGGGTTCAGTGGAGAGAGGTGGGGGTGGTATAACAGGAAATGTCAGTGACAAAAAACAAAAATAAAAGGTATATATTTATTGTATATTTATATAATATGTATATTTTTTAACCCACTCTTGTCTACCACACTAATGATTTGTCTTCTTTCCTCCTAGTGCCGTGTTTACTTGGACAAACTTACTGGTCGTCGTGGTTGAGTTGGATGGCTCAGAACAAGAAGCCTTAGACCTGGTTCCCTTAGTCACGAATGTGGTTCTAGAGGAACATTACCTGATTGTAGGCGTGGTGGTGGTGGTGGACATTGGTGTCATTCCTATCAACTCCCGTGGAGAAAAGCAGCGTATGCACCTACGAGATGGATTTTTGGCAGACCAGCTAGATCCAATTTATGTGGCCTACAACATGTAGTTTTGTCCCTTTGGCTTCCATGGACTTTACTAGAGATGTATACATTTTCCTCAGTGTCCACTAAAAATGTGCAGAGAAGCGAGGGTGATGCTCATCAGATTGGAACTGTTTCTGTTATTGTGGTGATGATGATGATGATGATGACTTTTCGAAGCAGTCACAATTGGCCAGGGAATAAAATGTGAAACGTGTTTCCTTTACCACTAAATTTTTAGCTCAGAAGGACTTTGGGATTACTGCCTTTGGTTTGATGGAAAAACCCATTTTAAAACTTTTTTTTCTTTTTTTTTTCTTTTTTTTTTGGCTTACTGGATAAGTGCTTTCTGCGTAAATGTGGCTTTGTATTTTTACATTGAGCTGAAGTAGCAATTTTTTTTAAATCTGCCCTCTGGGTTCTTTTAGACAATTTTACATAGTGTGACAGAGAATTGTTTTCACTGTTTTAATGTGTCATCAATCTTACCAACGTGGATCTGTTACCAATTGAAGCCATCTTTAGATCCCATTGTTTTAGGAAAACGTGTTGAGGTACGAAAACTTTCCAAATAGCACCTTCCAATTAGAACTTAGCAGCTTTCTTTGTCAGAAATGTGCCGAAGGACAAAGGCTAACAAATCGCCTTTGACTTTAGTATAGAAAGAAGAAATTATAAATAAGGTGTGTTTCGGCAACTATCTTGCAGATATCTTTGTACTAAACTAAAAAGATAAAATAAGTTAACTTCTTCATATGTAATTATGTACAAAACGTTTAATTTATTTTGATCTCTTTAGAAGTATAAAAGAGAAAACATTCAAGAATATTAAAGTCTTGTAATGTTTGCTAATATAAAAAAGTGTTGTATTATCTTGCGTGGATAGTATCACATCAAATATATATATATGAAATATAAATTCACTAAGGACAAAAAAGATTTTAAAGTTTAAAATGCAGAACTTGTCACTTGCATGGTGTCCTCGGTCCCCCTTCCCCCACTCTACTGTAGATAATTGAGTGTTAACTCACACAAACTTTCTCTGATGAAAGCAATCATGGATTGCCAAGTAACCCTGTCTCAAAGTTTCTTCTAGATACCAGATACCAGCAAGTGAAATTTTTGCCATCTCGAAGATGGCGAATGAATTTAAAGGCTAAACATGCACTAAAATTTTTTTTTCTTTGCCACAGAGGTAACAATAACTCTATTTGTGCTGGCATGTGCTTACACTTGTTAGGCTTTAGGAAGGCAGGTTGGCGAGTAGCACTGTTGCCTAGCTGCAAGAATTTGTTGCACAGGTTTTCCCCTATCATTTTTTGTTGGTGTGTTTATTTTTTTTTCATTGCTGTTATCGTTGTGATATGATAAGGAATGGTTTTCCATGGTCACTTGCACCAAGTTGGTCTCATTTCTCCCTCCAATGGCCATTGTAGTGGGTAGGCACATCCTCCAAGACAACTTTAGGGAATGGAATTAGAGAAACAGTCTTCTCTCCTCTTGCCTGTAACCAAGCTAGTGAGTTTCTCTTCTCCAGGGTCTCTTAGACCAGGGGAAGTTCTTCAAGGAGCTGAGCTGCCCTGGTAGCCTGTAACAGAGGCCATCGATAGGGAAGAGCCACACAGCATGCTTCACAGCTGCCTTCATTTTACTACCCATAGATAAATAGATCTTCAGGTCCTCCTTCCATTCTAGTCTCTCCTTTCTTCTCTCCGTTCTCCCCACCCACCTTTTTTTTTTTAATTTTCAGAGCTCATTAGTACATTTCTAAATCAAGATGGCCTGTCTGTGTCTGACCAAGTGAGTCTATCAGCAGCCACCCAAGACTGATTTATTTTATAATTGTCCCGAATAGGCTCCTGTGATAGCTCTCTTGTTACTGGATATGCATGACTGAGATTGTTGCTGGGAAAAATTTAGATCCTTCTTTTTTTCTTTTTAAAATGACACTTTTAGGCAATGTCTGTGTTTGACTTTGCAGTATGCATTCAGTAGTGGGCCCTTTGCTAAAAGAAAGTTTTGTTTGACTTCCAAAATCCAAGGTGGATTGTTTTGAGGTTTTTTTTTTCTAAAAAGGCACATTTTTTTGTCTGCATGTACAGTGCATCCTCCCATGTCCACAAGGCATTTGCTTTTTAGATCACCATTTTGGACTTCATTGCTGTGTTAATATTTCTGAACATATGCTCCAAACACATAATTTGAGAACTTATGTAACATGAGGTCCTGTATTTCCTGAGTCAAAAAAAAATCATATAAAGAAAAAAAATAAGAAACATCTTCTACACATACAATCTCCTTGTCCCAAGGGAAAGTCGGCTCTAATTTTCAAATACAATTTTGATCTATTGCAAAACATAATTATCCAGTGGGGAGTGGGGGAGGGTAACTTGTGAAATTCCACCTCAGTCCCTTTGGCCAAATTTAGCCATCCCTTCCAATGTCACTTTAGCCTTCACCAAATCAACTCTGCATTCATGGAGGAGGGAGAGGGGAGAAGCATATGCTGCAATGCGATCGGGAAAGGAGTTAATAATAATGGATCTCTTCTGCAACCTGTCATCTGTGGTGTTGAGTTTTCTACTCAAAAGTCATAAAGAACTGAATTTGGAGCAACGTAGTGCAAAGCAAAGTGGAAAGCAACCTTTTGATACCACCAGATTCAGCAATAAAGAAGGATTGTTCTGTATTAGGAACTGTATTGTAGATAAACCATTCATGAGAATGTATAAAATGTTTGTCTTGTGACCTTGTGCTTTTGAAGTCAGACAAAACCATGTAATCGATTTGCACAAAGAGAGGGTACACAATGAACATTCACATACACACAAACACACACACACACACACACACACACACAGACCTAATCAAACAGGAGCAGATTCCTCATGGTGCTTGTTTATTTTATATATATATATATAAATAAATGAATATATATATATATATATTTAATCCTGCTTGACACTTTACCCAAGGGGAGACTGTCCCTTTTATCAGTTGAATGTTAGCAGCGTTATTTCATAGAGTGTGGTGACTGGTTAGAGCAGTTCATATACTCAGCCAATCACAGTTTCAAACAAAGTTTTTATGTGCAAAGGACAGCAAACCTTCTTGTATGTTAAACCACCAGTACGCTTTGTACATCTGTGATAACGCCTGTTTTATATTCAAATGAACAAATAAAAGCTTTTATTTTTGTTGCTCTGAAAATAGTTTCTTAATGGGTTCCCCTGGGGGACAAACAGAAATATACTCTGAAGCAGCTGAGCTCTCTTTTTAAAGCACAAGGACATCGTCCCCTCCCCTCTCTCCCCCTCCTGGATCATCTCCTGTCATTTAGTCAACTAATTGCCTAAGGGATAGTACATTTTCATTGGCTGTCCCCCAATGCATGGAATGCTCCCCCTCCCCATTGCCATCTCCTGGCTTCCCTGGCTTCCTTCAAGTCCCAGCTAAAACCCCACCTTCTACAGGAAGCATTTCCCATTCCCGCTTATTTCTAATGCCTTCCCTCTTGATTACCTCAAATGTATCCTGTATAAAGCTTGTTTCTACATAATTGTTTGCAAGTTTTCTCCCCCATTAGACTGACCTTCTTCAGTGCAGAGACTCTGCTTTTCCTTGTATCTCCAGCACAATGCCTAGCACGTAACAGGCAATTAATAAATGTTTATTAACTGACTTAGTATAGATCATAATAATTAAAATAGTGACATTTATATAAGAATTGCAGAACACTTTACATAGGTTACCTCATTTGAAACACCCCCCAACAACCCTATGAATTAGGTAGTATTGTTACCTCCATTTTACAAACAAAGAAACTGAGGCTCAATCAACAGGGCTTTATTAAGCACCTACTATATACCAGGCATTATAGGACAGCAGGTGTACAAAGAGAGAAATGAAATGATTCCTGTTTTCAAGGAGCTTGCGTTCTATAGAGGGAGACAAGTACTCAGGTTGCAGAAAGTGCCCAGGGTCATGCAGTTATTAAGCGTCAGCACTGGAATTTGAAACTAAATTTTCTCCATTCCCAAGTCCAGCACACTATCCACCATGTCAGGCTGCTTCTCACATTGAACCAAGTTTTCCATCCTAGGGTAGACATTTGTTGCTTTGAACAACTTAGCATGGCAACAGATGTTTTTGTTTTCCTTCCTCCTACTCTTTTAAATAGAGTTAAACATGCATAGTGATCTTATGCATTTTTTTCTGAAAATACACAAAGCACTGGACCCTTACTAACATTTTGTGAGTAGCAGTAAGAAGCATAAAGACCAGGCTAGGTGGTGCCATGGAGAGAGTGCCAGGCCTAGAGTCAGGAAAACTCATCTTCCTGAGTTCAAATCTGGCCCCAGACACTTAACTACATATGTGACTCTGGGCAAGTCACTTCACCCACTTTGCCTCAGTTTCCTCATCTGTAAAATGAGCTGGAGAAGGAGATAGCCAACCACTCGAGGATCTTTGCCAAGAAAACCCCAAATGGGGTCATGGAGAGTCAGACACGACTGCAAAACAACTGAAGAACCATGAAGTGAAGCCCCTTCTTCTCAGGGTTTGGCGATTTCATCCGTCCCGTTGCAGGCGAGCTGTGACACCTCAGGAAATAGTCTGCTAGCTGCTGCAACCAAAATTGACTTGATTCACTCGACAGCTAAAAGCCACATCCTTTGCTCAAGATCTGTGGGCCTCATTATGGTTTTTTCTTTGGGGAAGTAGTAGAGTGTTCATCACTGGTATGAAAAGAGCTCAGGCTTATTGGATCTCAGGGTTTGAAGATCAACAGAACTCAAAGCTGGCTGGCCGGAAACCACGAGGTTTGATCTAGAAGCATTCTTTCCCCCTTAACTTCCCTCCTTACCTTAGTTCTCCTCAGCCAAATCTAGATCGACTCAATTCAGTCCTGGAACATCCCGAGTTATTGATCATACGTTGCCCAGGAAAATACTAGCTCTAATAAGCAACTCAAATGTAGACTCCTGACCCAATGCAGACCAGCAGACCAGTGTAGATAATAATGCAGACTAGTCTGAAGTCTAACCAGGCACACAGGTAGAAAGCTGCAATTCTACACTCCATGCCTGGAATTTCTGACCTGTTGCTCTGGCAGTCCA